AGAGGGCTTTTCAAATGCAAGAAGGGTGGAATGACGTGGGTCACTTTTGAACTTGGATGTAAACCCTTAGTTGAAGAACTGGCAAAATACCACAAACTGACTGTACTAAAAGTGATTTCCCATGGGATTTGCGCTCAGAAGGCACAGCTGCTGGCTATCAGACATCCATTTATGGCAAATACAAGAACAAAGCTAGTACTCATCTATGAGCATTACATTCTTTATGCATAGTATACAGTTAGTTAATAAATGAAAGCTGTCACTTTTGTAAGCACATTTACATTAGTTTGGGAAATACGAGTGCTCAGTTCCGAAACATTGTTTTGAGATTTACACAGCTTTGCTGATCCATTGTTCTCCCTTAGAAAACTGCAAGATGTATAGATCACAAGAAGTGAACAGTATCAAAATGACAAAACTATGTATGAGTTATATGTTATTCCAGGACATGAAATATAGGAGGAATAGAATAATATGCTAAATAATATTCTGAAGTGCTATAAATTTTCAGAAAAATGTGTTAGCATCAAACTGGAAAAATGCCTAAACTGAGACACTAGTTTTTCACAAAGAGATTGTTATTAGATAACTGGGGATAAAAGGGTATGTGTGCTGGCATGAAACTCTGGATAATATCAGAAGACGCTACTTCCAGTATCTAACATGGAACCTGGGGAGAAGCTGGCTTTTAGGGAATTGCTAAAAATGTCTCTGTCTATAGCAGCTAGTTCCATTAGTTGCTGTTACACATTTCTCACCTACATTTTGGGTCACAAGTTATGTCCCTGAACATGGGCTTCTATAATTCTGTTTAAATTCCTTCTTTTGGAAAGCAAGGTACTTTGTTTCCATTAGAACTTTGCTGTGATCCAGTTAGAGGTGGCAGCTAAAGTCCATGGAAGCCCTCAGGAGACCTGACTGAGGCAAGTTCTCAACATGCCAAACACACACCAAAGCACAAGGGCTGTGGTTGCTCTCACGGAAAATCATAGGAGAGGTAACACTTTCCATCTTTTTATAACATTCTAAATAATATATACAATATACATTATAATATATATAGTGTTATATTACATATAATACAATCCTATTGATTTTGCTATTCAGCAAGAAATTATGAAGCATTGGCGCAATCCCTCCTCATCTCGAGGGCAAAGAAACCTATATCTGTTACCTCTATTTACCAGACTACAAAACAGCTTGGTGGGAGTAAAGACCTGGATTATGGCCATCCCTGGGTTGAATGTCAGTCTTTGCATAACCAAATAATCCGGCAAGAAACAGAGCAAATAAAAGAGGAGATGACCTAATGGTCAGGACATTCATCTGGTCCTTCTTCCAGGATTACTTTTTAAATTGTAACTGCAAACCCCTGGTCTCCTCCTGTTCTTGGCTGAATGCCCTAAACACAAGACTAGTGCTTCCTCTTGCCTGCTCTCCTGTGGTGCCATGGCCATACAGAAGAACAGGTTCAGCCAAAGGAAAGGAGATATGTCTCAATAGATTGGCGTTTGCTGTCAAAGCAGCACTCCTGCACCTGGAAGCTGTGTAGGCACTTGACTATACCAGGCAACTGAATTGCAGAGAGAAGTAGGAGTCCAGACATACTTCTATTCTCACTAATTACAATTGGCTAATTTTAACCAAATAGCTCCCTAGTGGTGGTTGTCTGGGGAGGATATTTCCTGGATATATCCAAATCTTCTTGACTGTAACCATGCCATTGAGACGTTTGTCAGACACTTCCTTACACATGAAACCCTGGTTTTAGGTCTCCGCTATGTCCTAAAGCCTTAACAAATTTTGTAAATGGAAACTAGGTATCTTAAGTAGAGATAAGAACTCCAGGAAGGGAATTAAAACGTAAGCAATTTTATTTTAAACATAGGAATGCTTCAATTCTGAAATGTAGGTTTTGTTATTAGAATTCTTCCTAACAGTTGGAAGTAAGTGCAAGCACGTCTTTTTCTTTAGGGGTGAGTCATGAATTCAATCTATTAGACTGAAAAGGACTCTATATGTTTCCTTCAAATTACAGGATGAAAAGACAGTTACTGACCACAGTATAATTGCATTGCTCTGTCTCCATTACTTAGCTATAAAAAGATATGTTCTAACGCACTTATCTCTTTGTTTCCAAAAAAGCGGTCTATCTTGAAATTAGGCATTTGGACAGGAAAGCCAGCAGAATGTGTAATTCAGAAGGCTTTTTTGTGTCAGCTTTGTTTGCTATACTGCCCTAAATCTGAATGACAGAGAATGAATGTGGCCTTCGTTCATATGACCCAAGCTGAAAAGTTATGAGCATTAAGAGCTTTCCAGTCAGCTCCTTGAAACATGCAACTACATTTGTAAACGGATGGGTTTTCTTGAAGTGGTATTCCCTATATTTAATGCTGCATACCGTGGCACTTTATATCACGTTCACCCAGCATATTACATTCACATGGCATAGCACAACCACTGAAGGAAAAATAGAGGAAAAATAGCAGAAGATGAATAGATGGTGAAAGAGTGGATATAAGGCTTGAGGAGAGCAAATAGGATATTATTATTACTATTTGCTTTTATTATAAATTATTATTATTTGCTTATTATTAATAATATTACCTATAACTTGATACTCAATACCTTAATCTGGAAAGGAAGCATATTGAAATTTAAAAGAGAAAAGTAATACTTAAAATTGCATTTTAAATTTTCATATTGAAGTGCTTTTCAGTAGGTACCTTCCTATATTTAACAGTGTGGAATGAAGCAGAATATTTATAAAGCATTACAAAATTGCCATTCATTGGTAAACTTGTCTCAGCACCTTCACAACAGAATGCATGAATTTTGTTTACGCTGACATTTAAGGTTACCCTTGAAAAGAACCTTTTTTCCAGCATGAGCCTTGTAAATTGCTCTTCTCTGTTGACATCTTAACTTAGCATCTGCACTGCAGACAAATACATTTACTTCTTGATCTTCCCCAGAAGCCCTCCATGGAATCATTGCCATCTCTGCTTTCAGATTTGACACTGATTACAGGTGGTAAAGACAGGGGGAAAAAAAAAAAAAATTAAAGGAATGAGGCATTTTGAACTGCTCTGGGTAAGCTTCAGGTCTTCAGGGCCAGCCAAGACATGAGTGAGCGCTGTATTCATTGCACAGCTTCATTCCCTGATATTCAGCGTTTTTCTTAGGGTTAAGCTAACTCGGTTTCTAGCACAGCTCTTTAGCAGCTCTGGATTTATGTCAGATAGTAATGTCAGTTGGAAGTGTCAGTGTTGATGTGGCCATATAGGTACTTCCTTGACATTATAATAATTATTAGCATAACTTCTGTAAATTCTGGAAGAATCTGTACTTCCCACTATTTTAAGTTAATTGAAGACAGAACTGAATGGGATTTTTAACTATTGCACTCGAGCTCCGCTAACACATAGCAACATTCTAGACCAAAACACATGTTTATAGTTGACATGGTAAAAATCACTAAAGAGATAAGCTACGAGGTAAGCTCAACCATGCAGGAGAACTTTGCAAACACTTTGAATACATCTCAATGTTTTCCTTCAAATGATACCCTATTTCAAAAATGGATTAAAAATTTATAATAATAGTTGTATGTAGCCTGAAACAGTGTAATTGTTTTTAAATGAAGTGCAGATAAGAACTTAAATTGTAACATAGCATAATGGCTGTAGGACAAAACTATTAGCTTTAAGCCTATTAAAATATTATTAATTGATGATGCATTTGAAGCAAACTAACAGAAAATAATTGATATAACCCAAACCATTCTGTGATTCTATGATACGTATCCAATTAATATTTGCAGAGAGCTTCTTGGTTTTGTAATTCCAAAATTCAGTGTCCTACTTTATCAAAACTGAGATAATCACAGGAAATGACAAATTTACAACATAATGAACCCACTCCCTCCAAAACCAGACAATGTTCACTACAATGCAGAATCCTACATTTTTGTCAAAGTCTGGCACATCCAAATTCTATCACAGTAGAAGAAACACGTTTTTGAAAGTGGAGATCAGCAGGTAAAAAATAATGTCTTGAGCTCATTCTGTCTTCAAATGCAAGCAGAAGGTATCTTACTGTAAGTAAATCTTAAATACCCAGGAGAAAATTAAAAGAAGTATCTTAATAGTCTCCCTCTCATTTGCCATTCTCAATTTGAAAATTCAGTCACCAAGATACAGACAGTGCTCTTGAGAGCTTTAATCATCTTCTGCTGCTCTCTAATAGTTACCCCTGTTGGAAAAGAAACGCTAAGAAAAGAAATTATGACAGAAAGTAGCAGACTGCCAAGGTATGAAAGGACAGAAGTATAATTGTTAGAGATGCTCTTTCATTTCAAATCTTTCTTTGAACTGGCTTATAACATGAAACATAACATGTTGATGAACAGAACATAAATTGAGTTCATTACCTCATCATAACCAACATATTATAAATTTGGGATACTCAAAATTACATAGACTAATGCACAAAGAAATGCTATGCCAGAGTTAAGGAGCTCTGAAACATACAAGGTACTTCATAATGACTTTCTCCCCCCAAACTGCTCTTTAGTTACACAGAACTTTGCACATTTCCAAATTTTTATTAGTCTGTTTCCCCAAATTGATACTAGTTTCTAAAAATCTTGACTAATTACAGGTCGATACCTACTGCAGACAAGCAACTTCTGTTGTAGAAAAGGTCATACTTAAGTGTTTCAAAATTGAAAAATAGAAGTTTACAGAAAAACTTTCCACAGTATTTTATGTGGCTTTAAATATTCACCATCAGCAATAAATCATTCATAATATATTTCAAAACTGCAGAGCAATGTATAATTTTCCTTCAAAACAATAATTTCTCACATAAAATAGAAAAAAATTATTAGTAGTTCTGTAAAGGTTGAAAATCCCTTGTTCAGAAAAATGTGAATATCTATAGCAAAAACCATTTACTTATTAGATTTATGTTTTTATGTATAAATTCTTACCTAAGCTGTTTAAAAGCTTCTGCCTTCACAAGCGGTGTTTCTACAGAGTGTTCAAAAAGTGCTCCTTCAGGCCCTGCAAAAAAAAAGAAAAATACTGTATTTTAAAAGTTCAAATGTAAGAAAAAAAATAGCAACAGTGATTTATATGGCCACTTTGATATCAGAAATTAAGGTACGAAAACATACATTAACAATTAATGAGACAATTAAAATACAGATACAGTCCTACTGTTACAGTATTGATTGGAACAACACAATACACAGGTAATATAAAAGTACACTTGTAAATTCTTAGAATGAAATCTAAAAAGTCTGAAGACAGAGAAATTTTAAACTACTTGGGACAACAAAATAAGTAAATAAGATTTTTACAATATAACTTCCATTAGAGTTGACAGAGATAATTAAAATACCAACAAACCTTTGCAAATATTACAGACTTAAATAATCATATTTATTTTAGACTATTCTATACATAGCATGAATTCCGGCATGTAGCTTCATCAAAGATTCCCCCCTATTTTTAGGCAGACTTGCTGAATATAAAATGGTATTTATGCATGTAAAATGGTAATAACTATGGGATCAGATAGTTTATCTCTTTAAATAAAAGTAGTTTCATCCCAACAGGGAAGAAGCAGTGATTACCTCTGTGTGGTACATGTATAGGTGGGGCAAAACAAGCCATCAGTACGAAAGGATTATTTGCGTTGTGCTGCTGGAGGTAAATACATCTTAAAGCCCAGACATCCAGAACCCAGATGAAGTTCATGGCAGCAGATTCTTGACCTGTTCATAACACCCTTCCTGTAAAGGGGCTACTATGTAGCCTCACCACCTTAATATCAGTACCCTCTGAAAATCAGAGTCCATGGCTTTGTTGTCACAAATCATTATTTTAATTTTTCTTTGTAGACCACCTACTTTTAACCTTGCTTTTTCATCTTTGCACCTAGTGTTTTCACTCTTGCAATGTACTCTTTCTTTGTGGTTCTAAGTTAATTTGTGCAAGAAAAGCTATGATAATAAAGTAATTTTCAAGACTGGAATTCACAGCACAGAGTGCAGCATGCAACGGATGCTGGCCCTCCCCTGAGAATTTATAGTGTGAAATAGAAGCAAGACTGAATGCTTAGAGGAAATACAAATAAGGACCTACATGAGTTTTACATCCTGGACATTTAACTTACTAGGAATTCAGGTTGCCTATAACAGCACAACAGTCAATTTTCAACCTAGGTGCAATGTGCTGAGGTTCATGAGAGCAATTCAGATTGTAAAAAAAAATCAAGGTCAGGCAGTTAATGAAGTGCCTAAATACTGTGTGTTCACATCACCAGTTTCCTCACAATAACACCCTCCAAACACAGCTGCTGGCAGAAGAGGACATAGCAGTATCTAAGTCTTGCAGAATAACATGATGATGATCAGAGTATCTGGCTAGAAGGCAGGAAACTTGGTTTGCAAGCCCTCTTCATCAGTGTGAATATTGACTTGATAAATGCATCTAACTGCACTGAATCAGGCAGCAGACCAGGTAAATTGTTGGTGTAACATTTCTCCTTGTTCAGCGTGTGCAGAGCTGCTTTACAGAGGGGCCTCATCCCTCTGCAGGCAGGCTTCATATAAGTACCCTGCTCTGCATCTTTCTATTTTCAGCACTATATGCCCTACCAAAAGAACTTGTCCAAAACTGCAAGCTCCAAACTGTCCCCATAATAGCCAAGCACCCAACCTCACCAGGAGCCTCCCTATTGGACCCAAAAGATCTCCAAGAAGCTCCATTTCTGTTCTCCTGAGGACCAGTATCATTGCAGTATCACCAGCTCAGTGACCATCTCCTGCCTAAGCTTCACTGGGATCAGGGAACTAGCTGAAGTAGTACAAAAGCTTGAGCCATCTCCTTGAGATGTGTCAAAAAGCAGCTCAACACCACCAGCTGCAGCAAGGGTGGAGTCTCTCACCTTCTGTTTGTTGGCTTTGTGAAGGCACTCATTGGGAAGAGGAGGCTGAAATTGGGGAGGCCTTAGGCTGAGTGATCTTCTCCAGCTTAGAGGATTCACATATCTAAGCACCTTTCATGTAAATATGTAGCAAGGCAATATATTTTAATACCTAGGATATTACTCAGTATGGCTTTTCTGGCTGCTCTTTGAATTAAAACAGACTGAAGTTACCCTCAGGAAAGAATTCTGGGCTGTAGAATGCCCTAAGTCAGGGCTTTGGACTCCATCTAGAGAAACAAACTCTTAAGACCCCTCTTGAGCTGCAGGCTGGTGAATATGCATGCATGCATGTGCATGCTTATTTAAATATTAATATTATCACAGTTAACATATTAAATGCAAATATACATGCAAACAAAAGACAACTGGTTTTTTCTGTGTTCTGTCTGGAAGACCTGATGAGATTGGGATGAAAAAGTGAAAGTACATGTAGAATCAGGCAGAGGGAAGGAAAGAGAAGGGGAAATGGATGATTAGAAAGTATGGTGTAGATGGTATAGATGTAGTATTAGATGTGGTGTAAAGGGAAAAGGATAATAAAAATTAGTGGGGGCAACCACATAAAACATGGTAAAAGGAAAAAGAGTGAAATCAAGAGATACCATTAAAAATGAATACATTGCCGAGCCAACTGTTAGAAAGACTGTCACTTCATGAGGGCTGGGGGAAAGTCCTCAGGATGTCCTAAGAAAGCATGAAACATGCTGCTTTTTGAGAAGAGCTCTAGATGAAATCACAATTCCTTAGAATGAAATCTTAGCTTGGGTGGAAGAGAAGTGCACAAACCATAAGAATTACCAATCACTTCACCATGTCAAGGAAGCATGTATTTCTAAGCTTCTATTTAAATTTTATTTAGCTGTTGATATCCTCCTCATCAATTTAAATAGATGAGTCTTCCTGGAATCTGATAACTGGCATGAATATAACACTGGAAAAATATAAAATTCATTAATTCAGACAGGGCTTTAACCCTTCTTCATTAGCATTGAGATTATTTTGCAAGATAAAACCTAATGGCTGGCAGACATAGTTAATTATTCTCCTGTTCTTGTAGTTGTGCTAGTGGGTGTTACAAGGTGGCAACCTTACACATTGCAGATGATGGAAATAAAAACCCTAAGGAATTAAATAAGTTTGTCAGAAAATGCTGATTTGGTACAACTAAGATATTTTGCTGGGATACGCTGATCTGTCAAAACTTCTCACTTAGTTTACTTGCCAGCTAGAGGTGGCAATGAATTCAAGTTTTTCTTTGAGCAGAGACTGCCTCAAATGTGATTATTCTGACACTGTGGTCCTTTGAGAATGTATCATGATCCTTCACTGTCCTTCATTCCACCTGACAATTCTTAGCAAAACAAGCATTTCACTGTTTTCCTCGCTCAGATTTTCATCTTGGATTACAGTGAATGAGTTGTAATTTCAGTGAAATATGTACTGTCACAATACTACCTGTGCTAACAGAAGACTTATCTTGTCAGTAACTTTGAATGATCTCCAAAGACATACATGATTTATCAGGGGAGATAGCTTGATCTTAATGTCTTCCAATTTAGTTCTGGGAAGTCTTTAGGTATATCTACGTTAGGAAGTAGTGTGACCTGAGAAGGGTGGATTTATAGAGTGATACACTTGGTGCTGAAGATCTACTGCTCATACTATACAGATTTAGGGGATCTTACTTTGGACCAACTCTAGTCTCATCTTATGGACTTAAAACATATTTGCAATTTTGACTAAGTAAATGCATTCTTGGAGCCTATTTCTCAGTTCAGTTTCATCCAAAAGGAATCCACTGTATTCACTCCCTGACTCCTCCATGGTATAAACCAGTGGGACGTGAGAACTGTTACAACCATCAGATTTGCAGCAAGAGTGCAGTCCTGACTGAACAAAATGCTGTTTTGGATGCATGTTTTGGCTTGATGACCTTGGAAGGCATTTTTTAATTTCCTTCATTTTCCCCTTCCTTTTTCTTACTCATGCATGCATCTACTACACCAGCATATGTTCTATGGTGTGTTCTTCCACTTGGGTATGGTTTGGAATCCATTTCCTTTTTCATTAGACAGTTGTTAAAATTTTTCAGCAATTTTCAATACCAGCTTAGCTGTACTGTGTCATAGGATGAGGTATAATGAAGACACAATACAAGTGAATTCCCATTCTTAGATAAGCTGCATAGCTTCTAACAATGCCAGTTGTATGAAACTGCATAGTTTGCAATTTCGTGCCTTGCTACACTGCTGCATACCCTTACATACAATGGCCATGGTGCTAGAATTTGACTTTGTGCCAATTTCTTGATATCTGAATAACAGTGTCACAGGAGGATCTTGGTGCAGTTTCTGGATATAAGATCCATTTCCGTCTCATTTTAAGGTCTGTAGGAAAAGCTGAGCATTTGGTAACACTGCTGTTCTGGAGAGAAAGACATATCAATTATCACCTGGCTTCTTACAGTTGTCTGAAGGCCTCATGTGCTTCTTCCTAATCAGGTGGTCTGCAGTACACACCCACCACAATGTTGCCCATGTTGATCTGCCCTCTAATCCTGACCTACTAGTTCTCAGCTGACTCCTCATCCATCCCAAGGCTGAGCACCATGCATTCCCGCTGCTCTCGCACATAAAGGGCAACTCCCCCCTTGCCTTTCCAGCCTGTCCTTCTTGAGGAGCCTCTATTCCAGTGAAGTATTTTGAGTAGCACATTTGCAAAGCACCTTAAATGTTTGCATGTTTTAGTATGTCATTGCTGCAGATACAATCCCCAGATTGAAAGCACTGAAACGGCCAGTGCCTGCTGGAGAAGCTCCATGGAATGACACTGGTTTACTGCTATTAAAAATCCAGTCTTATATTTGCATTTTTATAAATTTTCCTGCTATATCTGTGTGTAAAAAAAGATTTTTTTTTTATTTATTCTGCTTGCTATAAACCATATAGTTTCAATTATTAGAAAGATTAGGGAAGGAAATCATCACTTCCATTAATATTTTGCAAAAGTAACATTAATGGCTATTCATAGAATCATGAAATGGCATATCTAGCCACCATAATAATAA